AACGGTGGTGGTGGTGGCGTCGGTGGTGGGGGCGGTTGTGCTGGTGGTGGAGGCGAAGTCGCGGAGAAGGAGGAGAGGCCGCCGGCTTCAGAGAGTGTCGAGCCGACGGCCGCGTTTGACGTCGCATCCCTCGTACTGTACGGCTCGCGCGCACTACCGATCCGCCTTAAGATCTTGCTCGATCAGTTGTTCAACCAGTTGCAGCACGCGCAAGTGACACGTTTACTAGCCGCGTTCGGCTGGACGTACGAGGATTACACACGGGGATACATACTGCAGGTGAGTCAATCTATTTCAACAGACAACCAGAGACGTGTCGATGGTCGTGTGTTAGGAGGTTTTTTTCCGGTCAAGTTCCGCGGGATAGAGGATAGCATCGGAGGGCAGTTACTTTCGAGGTGATTTTACGGGGTAAAGTGTCTCACCGATCTACCGGATAGGATGTAGAAGGACTTTGACGAGCAACGGACGAGACGAGGACGAAGTGACAGAGTGATGTGCAGGACCGAAGTTTTTCTAGGATAATTACAGTGTTTGAGAACGGGGTGTTAGGGCGACGTAGTGACATCGGTGAACCGAAGTTGTAACTAAATCGAACTGTTCGATTGATTTGACCGCGAAAAATGACAGAGTGACGGTGATAGGTTAGAATACGCGGTACGAAGAGTTCGATGACTGACGACAGACAGGACGAGTAAAATCATTCGACGAATACAAGTATCGTTTTTAAACGTAGGAAAGGGGAATATCGGTATAGGGAAAAGTGACAGATAGTGTAGGATAGAGTTCGAATATTTTGTAAACGTTGGCTTTCGATCAAACTTCACCGATGATTCCATCGATCCCGTCCGACGACCACCATCGAGATGCATCGATTCGACAGCATCGCGAAGTGAACATCGATGTACCGATCAGTGAGAAGTATCGTGAAAAACATCGCGAAGTGTTTCGTCGTACGAACTTGGCGATGGACTACCAGTGTCTTGGAACTTGGTCGAATCGACATGAAATTCAACTGTGAAACGAAATGCAGAAACGGGAAGAGGAAGAGTGAGAAAACAGTTGATGAAAGAGACTGGTGTTTGAAAGTGCGTCGCGTAGAAGTGCGTGGTGCGCGATCACATGGAAACGACGAGAATTTCGATTTGTGCAAAGGTCGATCGATTCTCGAGAATTTGTGACCATCGATAAAGAGACTGTTTTCAACGACTGTGAAACTGTTCGTCCAGTGTCACGACGTGTGTCTTCGTCGAAAATGAACTGAAACTGAGAAAAATTGAATACGACGAACTTTGCAATTTTCGAAGGACTGTAAAATATGATTTATTCTGTAAACGGAAGTTTGGTTGATTCGGACAGTTTCGGTGAGTGAGAAATTTCGAAGAAATCTGGAAACGTGATCTGACAGTGCTGGAAGACGAAGTGAGTCAAGAAGAGGGAAATGTCTGTTCCTCGCTGTGCAACAAATTTCCTGTTCCACGTTCCGGAAAATCTGCGACGAGAAGACGTCAGAGAGGAGTGTGAGACACGAGTGACACTTTGCTTGAATATTCCAAAAAGTTAATAGAAGAATATTCTTCGAAAACTGAATTTCCGTGAAGTTCGTCTTGGTGAAAAAAGGACATTTCAATTCCATCTTGAATTTTCCGAAAAATCTGTGATTCGAGAGAGTAATCGCCACAGAGTGTGAGACACGAATGTCACTTCGCTTCGGATATTCGAAACGATTCGTCGCGAGTGAAAACGGACGTTTCAATTCGACTTTCAACTTTCGTTCGATATTCCGAAAAATCTACGATGAGAAGACGTCGGAGAAGAGTGTGAAGCACAAGTGATCGGCCTCTGATACAATAAACTAAAAAGGAGATATTCGTTAAAAAATTCAATCTCCGTTGCGTTCATCTGGCGCGAAGGAAGGACGTTCCTGTATTCCCGAAGAATCTGTGTCTTAAAAGAAAAACCACCGAAGATAGCAGAAACACAAGTGACCCTCAAATTTTCCACGAGGATAAAGAAAGTTCGTTACAAAAAAGGACACGATACAATCTTCACGACAGTCCGAAAAGTCGTGACATAAAGAAACACCACAGAAGACCTTAAAGCACAAGTGACAAAGAATCTCTCGTTAACAATCTTCGTTCCATCGGAAAAGAGGACGTTTCGAAAATCAGTGATTGAAGAAATCGAAGTGACACATCGCTCGAATCTTCCTTCCCGGAGAGTACCTCGCCGAGAAACCAGAATCTTCGCAGTGAAAAGGAAAGTTTGCGAAAATCGTTCGGAAAATTGGTGGGACAGTTTGACAAGCAGTGATATAAACGCGAAGTGCGTGTAGTAGCGATCGATCAGAGTGGACTGAGCGTCGGCGGTGAATCAGTCGTCGATCTGTGATTAAGATCGAAAGCTGCGGGAGCGGCGTCGGGGGGAGGGGGTTGGGTGTAGAGAGGAGAGGAGAGAGGAGGAGGCTGAGGTCGCGCGTTGCGTTCCTGGGAAACGCTGGCTTCGAAAATACGCGCGCCACGGCCGCACATTAATCTCTCTCGTGTCGTGCGTCGTCTCTCTGTTTCCATCGGTTGTGCGGCGGCGGCGGCGGCT